CCGGTATGGCAACAAGTGCTTAACATCAAGAAATATAGACGAATGCTAGAGAAAGCCCAAAGAAAAGCACTACTAAGGGTAGCACGTGTATACAGAACAACATCAACGGTGGCCATACAAGTGATCGCGGGTGTGTTACCCATCCACAAACCTACGAGAAGGATGAGCAGGAGAAAATAATAGCTAGGAATAGCAGCCTAACGGAATGGCAGGAAGAATGGACAAATGAGTATAGAGCGGCCTGGACGAGGGTATTAATTCCAAATATCGCAGACTGGATGAAGTGCGGGGACAGAGACACCAATTACTTTTTCACCCAGTTCCTAACAGGACACGGCTCCTTCAGGGCCCATCTAGAAAGGATAGGAAGGTTGCGGATGGAAACTGCACAGACTGTGGAGTGGCTGACACGGCCGAGCACTGTGTATTCGAAGATTTGATGAGGACAGAAACGAATTATACAGAAAGCTAGGTAGGGTAAGTACAAATACTATAATGCAGGTAGCAATGAGAGGAAAGACTGAGTATAAGGCAATATTGGAGGCAGTAACTCAAATTGTCAGAAAGAAGGAGATATTAGAGAGGAATCTACAGCAAAGATAGGTAAGAGAGTGAGAGAGAGGGCGAAAGAGAGAGAGGGGATGGGCTATTCATGTGATGCACCGGTCTGGAGAGGACCTCCCGCATGAGTAGCCTGTATAAAGGGGGTGGACTTTAGTTGGCAGGCAGGGAGCTATGGGTGTATCTGTGAGCACGACTCCTCTGGGGGGACTGCGTGCGGATGGATCCTTCCACCCTGAATCCAACACACGCCAGGTCATCCTTAACGGGACACGGCCTGGTACGGTCTTTAGAAGATTTACCACCAAAAAAAAAAAAGTAAACAAGATCTTGGCGCTATACAACTAAATGAACCGATAACAAAAGTTAACCATTTTAAATATCTAGGATGTAGGATAAACGAGACACTACATCCGGATGAACTGAACTACAGCTGAGAATTAAGTTCCTAAAATGTTATGTGTATCCTGTATGGATGTGAAACCTGGATTATGAAGGTTAACATGATGAACAAATTAGAAGCCTTCGATATGTGGTTATATCGTAGAATGTTCAGAATATCATGGGTTCAACACATTTCAAACAGAGAAGTCTTGAACAGAGTAGGTCAAAGTGAAGGTGACTTAATAACGACGATAAAAAAGAGAAAACTCGAATATCTGGGGCATATAATGAGAGGAAGCAGATACAGGATAATGCAGTTGATACTCAACGGAAAGATCGACGGAAGAAGAGGAATTGGCAGAAAGAAATAATCATGGCTCCGAAACCTTCATTAATGGACTGGCTTATAAGCAGATGGATTATTACATGCCGCGCAAGATCGAGAACGATATCGGCAAATCGTCATGTAAGCTACCCACGCCTAAAACTTGGGCACGGTACTCAAAGAAGAAGATGCTTAATTTATTTTGCAGTATTAAAATACATATAAAATGAGTAGAAAGCCGTTAAATGAAAAGAAAAAACTAATATAGCTAATTGAGGCCGACGTATCACATATTGACGAGCTTAGTTAGCAGTGATGATGATAATGATTTGAAGGAAAGCAGTACAGACAACGGGGAAGTTATTCTTCTGCTGTTAATGGCAAGGGAGAGGGCAAAATGAAGTAAAGTTAGTCCACTGTGCTGTTCAAAGTTAGATGTTTGTTTAATGTTCGTGATCAACCGACAGAACAGTTAGATCTTTTATTTAATGTTCGGGATCAACAGACAGAACAGTTAGATCTTTTTTAAATTGTTATTTCGAGTTTTAATTACTGAATATATAATACATTTAACTAATATGGATATCGATAAGTTATTAAACCTATTGGCAAACAAGCATATTTTGCTAAATTGAATTAATGGAGTAGAAAGCAGAAATCCGACACAATTGAATGTACTTGTAAAGGCAGGTGCTCAGTTTTGAACAGAATGACAAATGTAACTGTATAAAAATTTCTGTTTAAGATAATTTAACTTACAAACTGCATACTTGAATCTAATATGGAAAAACAACTTTTACTATTTAACCAGTAAGAGAGAAGAATGAGGTGAATAAAACCACTTTTTCAAGCAGTGAAAGCTCGAAATTGAAAGGAACTTCATCAAAAGAAGGCTCAGAATGCTAGAGATTACCTAAACCGAAACGGCAAAAAATGGAAACACGTCGTTCATGTTTCTACCTGATGAACCTACAGCTGTACTTATCATGAAAATTGAGATAATTATACACATACTGTTTCAATATTTATTAAATGGAAACTATTAATTCATTCATGTTTATGTGGGATGATACTATTGTTTCTAGAGGTCCTCAAGAATTGTAATATTAAAAAGTCATTGCTACACATAACCGCATTCCAATGACCGATTGGGACTAAATTCCATCCACATGAAATATAGACAAAAAATCCTTTCACACTGATAGAGAAATAAGTCATTTTTTTTCTTTTAAAAGTACTTGAAAACAACAAAACCCAAAAAAAAGGTTTCTGAAGCAACAACAAAGGTGGTGTGGCTATAATGATTGAAGTTTAGGAAGAGTTTCATTTTAAAACAACAGGAAACAACAGGAAATAAAAGGAAATCTGTTTTCAATGGAATTGTCACTTGTATATATGGAAATGGTAGTATCATCAATGAAGCTAAGAAGATCTTCTTTAGTTAATAGATTTTATACTGCCGCGAACAAAAATCTGAGATCTTCAGGTCAACCAATCGAAGGTGAAGTAATTTCTGATGTTTTATATGCAGTATGTTAAAATAAACAAAGTTTTTAATGTAATATTGAGTAAAGTAGTTGAGTAAATATTTCTCAATCCCTAAAAAATAACAACAACTTTAATTGGTCACACAAAAAACGAATTAGGTCTTTATCTCAAAGTTTAGAACTAATTCATTAATTTTAAGCAACTCCCTAATATACTTCAACTGATTCAATCCAAAAATATTTTAAATATTATTATGCATTATTTTGTTTCAAACCTCTTTTCTCACATTTATCAATATTGGGATAATCCGTTATTTTACTCATATCCACAAATAAAAACATTGACCATGAAAATACCTGAAAATAAAACAGAATACAGGCAGATAAACAGATAATGTTTAACTTCTTAGCTACTGATATGCTCAATTATACCTATCTCGATATAGCGAAGGGACAACACGACATAAGAACCGCAGATTGTTTAAAACCCACAAAACATAAGTGAAATCTAGGAATTATATAACAATTACGCAAATAATATAAACGAGAAAGGTTTGACAATAATATAATCTTTGACAGATGGCGTAGGAACGAATTTATCTCGTTTTTGACATCTGTCATCCAATTTAAGAAGCCTTTCAGAACTTTCAACAAAGACAATTACAAAACAGTCGAACTGACATCGAGTTTGCCTAGTGAGAATAAAATTTGCATCATTAGAGACAAAGAAAGCGTTAAAGCAGTGGTTATAAAGCAAAGAACGTCCACAGATCAAGGCCGAGGCTCTATTGGATAGTTCGTCCCGCAAAAAATCCTCTTTCCTCATACAAAATTTCATCATTTGGAGTAAGAATTGATCAACCTTTCCATTGTATTTTCCAGGATTAGCCCTATGTGACTATTTCCTTTAACACATTTAAGAAAATTACTAGGAGAACGCCGTTTTGCTATGAAAGATGAGGTCATAGCTGAAATGTGGAATGTCATTTTGTGGAAAAGTTAAAAGAAGTACCTCATTAAGCGAAAAGAAGGCTACGTTGAAAAGTAAAAGAAAACTACCAAAATCATGTGTTTTCTTACTTGAACTAAATTAACATCTTTTTCTGTAGAACAACATAGAATAGGTAATAACTGAAAAAACGGTAAATGAAAAGAAAAAAAGAAAACCGAAATAATTTTAAGAATAGAAACAGAATAGTATCGGGAGTTACTCATCAAATCAACGATAGGTTAACATTGATGAAAGTTTCAAAATTTAACGGAAATAGTCTCTTTCTCGACCCTTCAAAGATAATACAAAAAAAAAGTCATTTTAGATGTATATCACATATAAGTAGCTCGAACTGACATGTTCTCTAGCAAAGTTTTTATCTGTTAAATTTTTCATTATGCTCTTGAAAAATATATTAGTACTCTATCGATTTCGTTGTCATTAATTTATTATATTCGTCAAGAGCTGCAGTTTCGTCAGTTTTTTACGATTTCCAAGTGATCGAAGAAATACACCTAGAACATAAGAACTATATCAAGGTATTAATGTATACATTAAAAATGTTATCATGGTTTTAAAGATAAATGGGTACATTAAGAAGTTGCTACCCATCAGTAAATGGCTTTACTTCTGCCATCCTCATGCGCCAAAGCAATGCGCATGAGACTGGCAGAAGTAAAGGTTGTGATTTTGTCTGTTTGGTATGAACTCCATCAAGGTATTAATGTATACATTCAAAATGTGACCATAGTTGTAAAGATAAATAGTTAAATTAAGAAGTTGCTGTCCATAGTACGATAACATAGGCAAATGCCTTTACTTTTGACATCCTCATGCGCTAAAGCAATGCGCATGGCAATGGTAGAAGTAAATGCTTTGGTTTTGCGGTTTTTGTATTTACGATAAGTACACACCATTATTAGTTCTTATTGCAAACAACTAAAGAAATTAGTTGATAAATTAACAAAATTATACATTTATCTGCAAATTTACAGAAAAAATTTAATATTTACTAAAAATAAAGTAATCTGTGAAAAATATATCACTTACACTGCTTTTCTTAAACCACTCTTCTATTATTAACTAGAATTAAAATACATGTTAGCGTTAAAGAGATTTAAGTAAAACAGTTCACAGATAACTCAAGAATAATGGAAAAATATACATATACACATAAATATTTGTAAATAAAAAAATTATTTCGAAATAAATATAAACTACTTTTTTAAAAGCAACACCCAGCGCAATTTATCTAATAAGTTGAAGTTGACGGTTCTGGAGAACCGAACCTCTTCTTGGATTTCTGCTTTAGTTCAGCTAGGTAACTTTGCTGAGACTCTGCCAGCACTTGGGCCATTATTTCCTGATCCACATCGTCATAACCTATGTAAATTAAAATAGTACTATAATGAAAATAAATATAAGTAAAAAAACAATTAACTGTTTTCTGACTGATACTACGTGTCTATGGTCTGTTTTTTAACCAGGAGGAGGAATTCAAATTTTACGCGCCGTAATGCTTGTTTGTAATTGGTCCAACGGCAGGCAAGTTTACTCCACTAAATTATGACATATTGACATTAATGACATTTGTGAAATTTTAAAATTCAAAATTTATATCGACAATTTTTTGCATTTTCTGAGTTATTCCTTACATTTTTAGATTTTTCGTTTGTATTTATATAAAAAACAGTTCTTTTCATAACTATTCAGCGACATATTAGTGTTATTAAGATAACAATATTGATTCAATGCCAAGTACTAGTGGTAATTATTCTTCTCCACCTTAAAAACGCCGAGTAGATTGGAGTCATTTATCATCAAATGAGAAACAATGTATAAACATGTACAAACAAATAATGAAAATTGATAGTTCTGGAATGAAAATAATAGCCACGGTAACAAAAATAAAACAGACAGCAGGTGAGTTTTGCAGAATAGTTGTTAAAATCAAGACTTAATAAAGTAATGTGCTAATTTTAGGTGTTGCGAATGTAACTATTCACCGAACAATTAAAGCATATAAGCAGACTGGAACAGTAAAATGTCCTAAACATATTCACGGTCGACCTTCTATTCTTGCAACATTAGATGAAAGAGTTAAAACATTTGTAAGACAGATAGTACACAGCTTCTTTTTCAAGAATGAAATGCCCACTTTAAGTGAAATTTTAACAACCGCTCAGATCTTCCAAAATATGTGTCGTTCATTATTATATAAATTCTTGCAGCAAATCAATTTGAAGTAAGTAAATATGAGTTAGCTGCAATTATATAGTAAAATTATCTATACCATTTTATAGTTTTCATTTTTATAATCGGGTACATTATTGTTTCTACTAAATAGTTTTTGTAATTAAAATTTATGAGCTATATGAAAAATGATTGTAATAGTATCCTTCTGGTTTGATCAAGATATTTTTCCTATTTATAAACACAAGTACAACAGCCTTTGTGTTACATGTTTTTGGAAACATACGAGTGTACAAATATCTTCATTTTAAGTATTATGTACTTACATTTCACTGTTCTCATTTATAGATATTATACTTGGTATGTTTGATGATGAGTATACTAATTAATGATCTCATAAAGTAAGTTATTAAATAAAATAAATTTTAAGTTTTTAATTATATACTCTACTGGAATATTGTCAAGTATTTTGGTTCAACAGATATAAGAACATGGAAATGGAAGAAAAGGAACAAAAAAGAATATTTTTTACTTTACATATAAGCAGATTCATTGCAGCAAATATTGCATAGCATAACTATGGATTGATTATCTTACTGTTTAAGATGATTGATTTATTGTCTGTATTATCAATGTCTTACCATAGTTATTTTTTAGGTGAAATTATTCAAAGAATGGTTTATAAATTGGGCTGCTGACTAAAAACAAAACTTTCTTGCTCAAATATCTGAAATAGATTTAGTTTTTGCTAAAAAAACTAAATGAAGAAATTCAAACTGGTGTAATTGTTCATGAACCTCACCAAGACATAAATGGGGAGGATATTTTGGAAGACTAATACAATTATTAAATTTTTATATTTTTATTTTTACATACATTCCGAATATATTATATTATGCACAGAATATTATTTTCCTCTAGTATATAAATCGTTTTCTGTTTTCTGACTCTTTAAGTTGTTTGTAATAACTTGGACTTTTTGGTATGTGAATAGTATTTAATGTGATATTTTTTAAGATGATATTTATACTAAATATAGTTTAAAGTGTTTTTAAATTTATAAATGTATCTTATTTATATCTAATTATCATAAGAAAAATGGCAACTATATTTTAAATTTAGTGTATACTGGTTAAGAAGTATTTTCATTTTGTTTTCATCACAATAAAAGAACATTAGTAAAGTAATGTTGTGTTTTAGTTTGATTGTATTGGTATAGTAGGTTTTGTTCTTCTTGGTTGTAGATCATCACAAGAAAACTGCAAAATTATTCTACAATGTAACATAATAGATTGAATTTGTTGATTATCTCACAGAAATCCAGTATTTTTTGGTTAATTTTATTTATTGATAATAAATGGGACAAACTCACTGTCAAAATTAAACAAGAATTTAGCATTAAAGAAGTTGCACGTACACACTTATTTATATAAAGTATCTTTTGTATTTTAGTGCTTCAAATATAACCTTAAGATATTAATACATAAGTTAAACAAATCTATCTAATGAGGTAACTGATTACCATGCATGAAAAGTAGGACACCTATATTTGAACCATAATTTATTCTGTGATGGGAAACATGAAAAAGAGAATTCTAAAGCAGTGAATGGAAAGGAATATGTAAAACAAATTGGCTGAAGCAATTCAGGAGATTGGATTATCAAGCTTAAAAATAATGATCAAAGTCAAAGTTAACTCTTCTAGTAAGAGAAAAAAACCTAGATTCAAGAAATTGATCACATCAGAATAAGAATATGGTCTAGGCAGTTTAAAAGAACAGTATTTCAGAAATCTTTGAACTCTCTAACTTTTTGATACATACATTTGCATAGCTTTGTTGCATATAAGATCTATTTGCAAATTAAAAGACAACTGTCTGTGAAAAACCATACTTAGATCTGTAACATTATTGACTCTCCGGAGTAAAATGTTCTCTAAATTATAATTAAATACCATAGACTCAACTACCAGAGATCTATAAAACTGGATCACACGATATTTAAATATATATACATGGGACCAAATGTGAAAACCGTCCTTTTTTTTATTGTAATAATTATAATATTGGAAGTGAATTGAAAAAAATTGTTCAAACATTAATAAACAAAGTTAGGTTAGAATTGACGTGGAAGGTTGTCCGATATTGATTACTCGATTACCGCAAAGACGAGATAATCAACAAAAAAAGAAGATGTATTTGGTGACTTTTCTAGTAACTTTCTTGGGTGTGAATCTGTCTTTTTGGTTTACTCCTCCTGGTTAAAAAACAGAGTATAGATGTGACACGTAATATCGAGTGCGAAATTTTTCACCTATATCTAATTTGAATTTCAGAATGTGCAGTAAAAAATAAAATACACAAATTATATTGTAATGTTTATTTTAAATTATTTAGTCCTCTAAATAATAATAACACTAAAACACGATGAACTTATAGCTTTTATTTATTTAACGGTACAAATATATTTATTAGACTAAACTAAAACCTAATTGTTCTTATGTATACTCCGCATCATTCTTCGGAATATTTCTAGAATTTAGTATGACGTCAGAACAGCCGTAGATAATCTCCAAACGCCTAGTATATTTGATCAGCGACGAAATGGTTCCTCCTGTAATTGGTATCGACAACTCGTTTACAACAGGTGTATAAAAACAGCACCGGTACTCGCTCCGCACTGGTAAGCATGCAGATATGGTAACAAACTAGTACATGGACTTCGGTATATTTAAAGATTTTTTCCACCATATTTTGGACAACACTCCAATCTAATTGGCGGCATTCTAGCTTTGACATGGGTAATTATTGCATGTTGGATTCTAGCAAGGGCTCCCCGAATTCAAGTAATGTTTCCCATACATTTTGGTAGGTAGGTTGGTCATGGAGAGTTACCAGATAAAAAAGGAAACGTGATTCAGCTTGAAGTTTCAGAACTTTGCTATCCATCTTTCAAAGAAAGATTGATGCCAATCCTTGTGCGTCTTTAATACTGGCTGATCTTGCTTTACTGGTACGTCCATATGCACCCATGAATTCCCCAAACGTGAGGCGGGACCCTCTAGGACTTGGTTTACTTCCACTTCTTCATCTTTGTCGTGGTTTCCTTCGAATGTCGCCATCCGGTTAAGGCGTATTATCAACGGTCTTCTCCTCTGAATCTTGCTTACAGTAGATGACATCTCTTTAATATTCTCCATAATGAGGTACTGACCTTTCCAGAACTGCTCCAATTTGGAAGAACAATCCCTTCGCTTCTTTGGATTTTAGAGCCAGACTTTGATGTTCTTCTTAAAACATCACTTTTCGGCTTGGGTATCGTCCCATTTCTTCATTTTATCGCTAGCGATTTGAAGATGGGAACAGACCAACTCGTGTATATCATCCATCCGTCCTCGTAATTCGTTTACATAATCTTCACCAGCTACCTTTTCTCCAGGTCTACATCCAAACTCTAGATCAGAAGGTAGTCAAAGCTCTCGTCCAAATAGGACTTTTGTTGTTGTTTTGAAATGTACATCAATATATTTCTTACACCAGTCCTTTACATCGTCGGAACTATTCATTCAATAAAACCGTTATCTAATGCTCTTAAGGGTTTTCTTTACACCGAAATGCCCTCCTGGTGGACTGTCGTGTAACTGACCAAGTACTTGGCTATTCTGCTCTTTGGAATCACCAACTATGTTCTCTTCTCGGGACCATTATCACTTTCCAGTACTAGTTTAAGCAAGCTGATTTCCATGATAACGGAGTCCCACTGGGTCCAATACGTTTTAACTACTGAGCACAAATTTGATACTTCTTGTCAAAGCGGTCGATGGTTTTATTCGTTCATTTTGGAATTTTCTTTAAAGTTAATCTTTTTCTTTTTCTTCTCTGATCTCAATAGACATCGACCAGCGTCTTGTGACTAGCTAATCGCAGCAGCCAATTCTTCCATCATGACTTGGTAACTGGTAGACTTGGTAACTTTCACTCTTGCAGCTGATTCGAATTGTTTCATGTTGTTATTCTATGATGATTTTCCGTCGAAAGTTGGGACTTCAAATGTCGAAGTTGGCACAAAAATTTCGTCTCATCGGCTTTTGTCTCTAATGTAATTGATCAAATTCCTCTGTCTACTGTCTCTGTTTTCTCCATCTTCTTTTCAATGACTTTCAGTTTCTCTTCAAAAGAGAAATATTTTCTTTAAAATACTAAATATCAAAAGCAATTGTTTTCCAACGAAGATATTTGCAGCATTTTGTACTCAGCATTTTTGTACTCAAATACATGTTTTTGGATCAAAATCCTCTTCTTCCAAAGACGTACTTCCGCCATTGTACTAATTCAGTCTTTTTCCCGACAATTCAATTCCCGATCTTCCATTAGCCATTTTCACAAAATTTATTTAAATATCCTAATTCTGACACCAATGTCACTTTAATGTATTTAAAGTCTTCTAACACTAACACTAAAATACAATTAATTTATAATATTTTTTATTTAACCATACAAATAGCTTCGAATCGTACCTTCGAAACGCTTTTAAAACCCAGTGGAATTCTCTCTGCGATGTTAGAACAACTGTAAATCGAACGCGTATGTTAGATACGCAAAATACTAGGCAACTAATGCAGAAAAGAAGAGAAATGAGAACCGAAACGGAAACTACAGCCGACGAAATACAAAGATTAAATAAAGAGATATTCAAAGCTGTTAGACAAGACACTCGAAAATACAACCAAAAAAAGAAAATGTCAAGAAATTTGGATGAAAAATGCTTAAGATAGAGCACAATGGACAAAAATGAGGGAGGCCTATGTGCTGGAGTGGACACAAAGGGCTGGGTGATGATGATCACAACCTAAAAATGGATTTATACAAAACTGTTTAATAAATTAGGACCACTTTTTGTATGAGAGACCTCTTGAACATTATTCTGTGGTATTTTATGAAAGGGATTATGCAAAAAATCTCATGGGAATATTTTTCCCTAGGAATTCGAGGTTTTCGTCCCGTATAAACATATTTTGCTGAATTTAAAACCAAAATCTTATTATTATTCTATCATACATTGATTTGTTATTTATTTGTCCTCTAGATTTTTTTCAGTTCTCAAAAGGTTTATTTATAAGCCAAATGAATGCAATAAATGCAAATATTTAACATGTTTACACAGCAATTCTTATCGGCAATGAAGACGGGGAATATGAGATAACATAAAAATGCGATGACTAACTGGATTGTTTAAGATTAGAGAAACATATATCATGTTTATTGGAAGTACTCGATATCATTAGCATGTGCAAATCCTACCATGTCGTCTAATTTCCTATGGAATTAAAATGATGCATGTTTTTACGGTCCATTTATTTTTTCGGACATGCGTATTTACGAGATCCACGAGGTTTTGAAACATCTTTACACCACTGTCAATACTTGGGTACTTGGGTTGGAATTCGTTTGACGTATTTTTAATTAAAATTATGGTTAATTCCCGTTAATATAGTACCTAATATTCGCACAATACAATTTTAACCGACTGCTTAAATTAAACAACAATTCGATGCCTCCCGAAAATATATGTACACTTTAAAAAAATTTAAGGTCACACAGGTTTGAAAAACGTACCTATATTGTTACTATCAGTAGAAGGACCAGCAACTGCTGTGAAATCTGGAGATATGTTCTCTGCTCCAAAACTACTTTCAGTCGAATCTGTACTTCTTGATGAATTGTATAATCTATTTGCAAGACTATGTTCTTCTACTGTAGGAATATATGTCGAAGTTAAATTTTCAATACTGTTACAGTCGGGAATGAATGACATACTGCCAGAATTTGGCCTAGGGCTCGCTTTAAAAAAAAATAAACTATAAAAATATCTTTTTTATATTGAAACACACACATTATTCAAAGAAATTTACATATGTACTACGAATCAATCATAAAATGGATGAGCCAACTTACCTAAAGGCGATATGTTATTCCTGGGAGAGCCGGGAGACTGCCCACCTTTGGGGGACATAGAACCTCTTCTAGAGCTCCTAGGGCTAGATACCATGGATGATGTAATTGTAGAGCTACTGGCGCTAGCTTGAACACTTCCTGTTGCCTTTAAACGTCGTTCGGTATCTCGAAAATATTGAATGTATGATTCTCTAGCAACCTGTTCCTCTATAGCCTCATTTGTAGCCTCCCAGTCAGTAGCCTTGATCTTGTCCTCCAACATAGTCTGTAAGATAAAAGAGGGATTCTCGAGGTGAAATCAAAAGATGAATCTTTCTATTAAATATTATTATATCATATTATATGATCAATACTGACAGACCTCTAAGCACATGTTGTTTTTTTATGGCTTATAGAACAAAGTTGGCTTCAATCTTGAACCCCAACTCTTCACTTTCCACAAGCAGAAATGATCATATATATGTTTAAACATATATAAGCAACAAGGAGTAAGCAACGACATGTATTTGAAATTTAAGCTTATATACAGTGCGTTAAGTTTTTGATTAGGTATTGCACACTATACGGAGCGCTAAAATCGGCAACGTTGCAAATGTTCGTTCTCCGACCCGAGACTATCTGCACCGACAGAAAATCATTTTAGTTTAGTAACCCACAACAACGTTTGGGATGTACTTCTCTGTCGTCCGATCTCATGTTTCATTACGTATAGCCGATTTTAATAGTAGGAAATTCGATAAAAATGCACTGACCTAATCGGTGCATTGTTATCGATTTTTATTAATGTGAAACTTTTTTTTGTGGTTGAATTAAAAATAAAAGCGTATTTCTTTAAAAATATAAAATAAAAAATATACTCTTATTGAAAATTAAAATATTATTCCTAATAAAATAAAAAATAATTCTTTATGACCTACAGAAATGGTTCAAATAGTTGACCTTCTACGGCTGAACAGTACCCCAATCTGTCATAAAAACTTCTGCGAACAGATGAAAGAGTTTCTGCTGTAACAGAATTGGAGACTTCTCTTATTCGATTTTTTAATTCATCCAAATTTTGGGCTCTAGCCTCGGGATGAGCGTAGATAATGCTTTTTAAATGTCCCCAAAAAAGAAGTCCATGGGTGTAAGATCTGGAGATCGCGCAGGCCACTTAATATCGCCTGTTCCACTGATAACTCGATTCGGGAAAGTATTGTTTAAATACTCCCTAATAATTCGAGCGTTGTGAACTGAACAGCCGTCTTGATGAAACCAAATATTCTCCAGATTTACATCAGGAAGATTGAGAATAGCCGGAAGAACATGATTCTGTAACAAATCGAGGTATACTCTACTATTCAAGTTGCCCTCAATAAAAAATGGACCTATTATGTGGTCTCCTAAAATGCCAGTCCAGACGTTAACTTTTTGAGGACGTTGAGTTCGGTAAACAACACTTCTGTGCTGGTTTTCCCGCGCCAATACCGCGTAATGGAAGGATTGTGTCTCCCTACTAACGAAACAGAAGATTCATCAGTGAATAAAATATTTTTAATAAAATTTGGTTCACTATTAGCCTTCGTTATTAGAGTTTCACAAAACTCCATTCTTCGAAAGTAATCGTCTGGATAAAGCTGATGCGTTTTCGAATATTTAAAATTCTTGTAACAGATGCACAAATTTTTGTATCCCGGTATTCTCTTTCTTCAACTTTTTCTGCAATTTTTGAGGCAATAACAACTCTCAAAATTTTTAACAATATTATAAATTGACTCTACACAAGGAATTGGTCTTCCCTCAAAAAACACAGAAAATAAATCTACACACTGTTGCGCAGAATTGCCACTATAAAACCATTTTATTATTTGAGCTTTTTCCGCGGCCATATAAACAGACATGTTTACAAAAATAAATTAAAACTCTACGCTGTTATACCTTTAAACAACCACGGTATAATGACAATATGACAAATTTGCCGACGGGCGACGTGCAACGACGAGTCAACGAAGCAGATATGTAGTGCAAGTCGACGACGCGCAGTGTTGCCATTTATAGAGTGTATACCTAATCCAAAACTTAACACACTGTATACATCAATTAATGTGATTATGTTATATACATATTGAGAAAAATTATTTTAAAAACACCAAACACATGAAACCCTTTAACACCTCTAGTAAAACTAACATTATTATAAACTCATGATACAAACCTGTTCAATAAGTAGTTCTTCACTGGCCCTCACAGCATCATTAAATCTCCTTCTGTCAATATCAACTGGTTTATAGTTAGGAAGGCCTAAACCTACACCAACTGAGGGGCTATTTGGATTGCTGATGGAATTGTAGTGGCACATTCTATGATATGACAGCCTTATAGGTTCGTAACTAGTACTCCTGGAGCCATTGAAAATGTTAATGGGCTCTGAAAATAATGCGTATTAAGACAAAACAATGTAATTTTCAACAACGTAGAAATTCTAAGACCATAAAACTACTTTTGGCATGCTATGAAAATATGGGAGTTGCTAGTGATATTTATAAATTAAACACAGATTAAATTTCATTATAACGCAACAAAATTAAAAGCTATGAGCAAACATGAAATACATGTTTATAGAATATTCATTGATCTTAAAAAAGCACACGATAGAATGTCTAACTGATACTTACCTAATTGATAACAATATACTTCTATTGTTCTGTTGTATAGTTCACTCATAGCCTGTATCTCTAGATGGTTTCCGTGTACATGCCAAGTACGTTTTCGTGCGACATACTTCTCAAAATCTTCAGTTACATAAGGTTCAAAGTAGTCACGATTTTGTACAATGTAGTTCATACAATCTTGTCTGACTTGAAAGTGGAATTCTTGATCTCCAAAAACTTGGTCAGCAATTGAGCGAAATAAACAAGCCCCATCTTCATTCATATTTTTTATTTCATACCCTAAACTCGACATGCACCTTGCAAAGATAGCATCCCTCTGAAAACATAAATAGTGTTGTATAGCAAAAAATATGTGGATTTAGTTTATTTTTCACTCTAATATGTCTTTATTTCTTTATTTTTATAAATAATAAATTAATGAACAAAATACTAATATACAGTAATAGTAATATAATAATACAGTAAAATAAAATAGCAATCTAGTAATACAAAATATGCAATTCCTCAGTACTAATGGTGAAACACATCTAAAATATAGCACCTATATCAACTAGATTTTCTGAATTCCTAATTAATGGCTGCCAGTTATTATTAAATTTATATATTAGACTAAATAAGTTGGTAAAAAATAAACTTTTTTCGTAACCACTGGATTGACGGGTTAGTTGAAATGTGTAGTATGAGCTATTACAAAAAACTATGATCTAAGGATTCATCAATTTCTTAGTGGAACTATTTTTAAATAAACAATCAAAACGCCAAACTCATTATTTGTCCAAATGGAGTCGAAAGCCTTCTTAATATCCAAGAAAACTCCGGCAGTCTACAATTCCTGTAATCTTGTTGCCTCTACATTGGATGTTACTATTGAAAGAGGGTGGATTGTAAATGATTTTTCCTTAAATCTAAACTGATGTACTGAAATGTGTTGGTTTAATTCTTCATATCTAACTCTGCTGGATTGGTATGGGGTGAATTGAGTAGCTCTATAACCGATACAGCCGGTCCCGAGCCCGGATAAAAGAGGAGGGACAGAGGAGTAACACCTCTAAAAAAATCAGTGTTCAGCTGACCCGACTGATAGCACCATGTAAGGGTCCATGATGGGGTACAGGTGAAAACCGGTCAACGGTCTCGAGAGCAGAGGATGGCTGGAAAAGTCACAATGGTCGAGAGGGCGAAAGAACCAAGAACGTCTGATACGAATACAGAAACGATTCATCATTAGTCATATATGCTTCTTATTTCCTTATGAATAACGATCTAGTTGCCTAAGGGTTTACAGTTGATGGAATCTTTGCCTGAAAATTTATTTTTCCTTTATATAAAGCTTTGTCATATTCATCTTCTGTGATGAACTAAAGGAAATTTGTATTATGATTGTTCTCAGAAAAATTTCCAAACCAATTATCCACCTCATCTAAGGTATCTTTATCAAAATTCTTGTCCTCGTTAAATTTGTAGGCTCTTTAAGGTACTTTGCAAAAGTATTACACATCAACACATCAGTTGATATTCCAAAACCTAAATAAATCTTTTTTTTTTTGACACTACGCATTTTACATCAGTTGTACTAAAGCATTATATAAATAAATTATAGCGTTAACAGGCCTTTTAGACCCATTGCTGGATGGATAATTTCCATTGTTTTCTGTTTTTTTGTCCAATATCTGATTCCCATCTCTTCCATCACTACATCTCTCCATTTCTTTCTTGGTCTTCCTCTCTTTTTTTTGTTCTCAGGTACTCTACAACCAATATTCTTGATTTGTCTATTACCTTGCATTCTTTCTAGATCTCCGAGCCATTCTAGTCTCCGTTTTTTTTTACTTTAGCTATCGTAGGGTTAGCATACAGTTGGTACACTTTTACATTTACATTCATGTTGCCCATTCTTCCTCTACTACCGTTTTCACGAAACATTCTGCGAAGTATCTTTCTTTCCAATGGTCCAATCTGTTCTGTATGGTTTTGTTATGACATATATATTTGGCCTTAATTATTTTGTTCATAGCTCCATCACATCTGTTCCTTTTGGTCAGTCTCAGGTTGATTTCAGTTTTTTCCTTACATGTCTGATCAATAAGGGTACCTAAGTACATACACTGTGTGCCAGCCAAATGGAATAAATTAGCTAGTAAATAAATAAGGAAGTATTCGAAAAAGCGATCGAACACGTCGATTAGTATTTATAGTTGCGCATTTTTTCCATAAAAACTTTTTATATGGGGTGTATCAGATAACTGTGGCCAATACCAACTTGCTCATTTTAAATAGAACACCCTGTATATTAATTAATTTTTAGATTCCTCAGATCATTTTAGACATTTTTTAAATACAATGTCTCATACCTTTCTTTGACTGTTTCGGAAATATTAAGTAACATGCAAAAATTCACATTTAGAAAAGAAAATGATCTATTTCCTACACACCCTAACCGTGAATAGAAATTTCTTCTAATGTTACTCAACAATTAAGATGTGATCAATATAATCGCAAGCATTATTCGTCTTCGTTAGTCAGCAAAGTCAGTGGGTTTAGTTTTGTATACAATACTTTTCACATATCCTTATAAGAAAAATTCTAATGGAGTCAAATCGGGCGATCGTGGTGGCCATTCCATCGATCCTCATCCTCATTCCATCTTGTTGAAACCATATCATATTCGCTGGAACTTGTGGGTTTCCTGGATCAGGATACAAGTTGGCCAACGTTGGTACTACATTATTTTGGAAACCATAAATAATTGTCGCCATTCAAATGCCATCTATAAAAAAGGGACCTATGATCTGATCATCAATAATTCCTGCCCACATGTTAACCTTCTCAGGGTATTGAGTATTTCCTTCTCTCATCCAGTGAGTTTTTTATCCTGGACCAATAGCGGCAATTTTTCCAATTAGCATGACCGTGAAGAGGAAAGGTCTCTCTCTCTTCAATCCTGACCCCCCAGGGGGAGTGTAGTGGTCGATGTGATGTCGTGTATTGTCTGTCTCCAGAGATCTCTGTCTCTGGTCATTTCTTTTAATTCATGCATAGGTCTTTGGCATATTCCTGTAATTTGATCTATCCATCTTGTTGGGGATCTTCCTCGTGATCTTCGGCCTTCTACCTTTCCTTGTATTATTAGTCTTTCCATGTTTTCTGTGTTTGCTCTCATAACATGCCCAAAATATTTTAATTGTTGGAGATGGACTTTACTAGAGAGTCGTTGGCTAACTTTCAGCTTTCTTAAAATTGAATTATTTGTTCTACGGTCGGTCCAAGGAATTCATAACATTCGTCTCCAACAGAACAATTCAGTGGCGTCTATCTTTCTTCTCTCCGATTGTCTCAAAGCCCAAGATTCACATCCGTAGGTCAGAGTAAAGGTACACTCATCAGAAAACAAAACATGTTCTAATTGGATCACATTGCTGTCTAACATTGCCATCATTTGTTCACAAAAATATGTTCTCCTGTCAAAATCATCTTCCATGAGCTCCTGAGTGTGTATAATTTTATAATGATGCATTTTGTTTTCTTGTAATATTCGAATAACTGATGAATAGCTAATATCAAGTACTGGAACTGCTTTTCGAACAGATGTATGTGGGTGTTCCTCAAACTCAAGCATAACAGCCAATTTGGTATCCTCACTTATTGTATTGGCATCTTCTTTTTTTACCTTCTTGACATGGTCCAGCTCGTGGTATTGCTTCTCTATTTTACTAATTGTCCCTTGAGATATGTACGGCAAATCAGGAAATGCTTTGTGAAATAAATGAGCTACTTCTATTTGCGTCTGTGTAATCTCCATAGCAAATCATCTGTATAATTGTAATTTTGTGCATTTCTGTTAAATGAACCATTCTTCTGGCTTGAGGTTAATGAAATTCAAACGACTATAGCACTGACAATATACAAATACAAACATTAAACATTGTTTTAAATCAATTTACTAATGTTTGTATTTTAAAATTTAATTTTAATTATTTAAATTTAATTTAATTACTTTAAAATGCCAAAAGAAAATAGCTTCAGAACAATACTTAATTTGTACCGGACATATATTATTTCTTAGCTTTATTGCAAATTATATTTCATCATCCTCTTTTAGATGCTTTTGTACAATCAATAATTGTACAATTTTTTACATTATTTTTTAAGAGTTTTACATTATCTGTTGAGACTATTGGTAGACTCATAATTACTATGTTATTGCTTTTCATTTGTTTTTCAATTCTTTCTACTTTGTTTTCAACCTGGGTTAATTTGTTTTTGTTTCTTTTTAAATTCACATATGTAAACGAACTGTAAATTATTTTTTTATACTAATTGCGATATTTGGGGTTTTGGTAGAAGAAAAACAAATTTACTTTTTATCTGCTTAGTACACTGTTGTGGTTTTTTTAAAGTCAATTGACTTATTGTTCTTAAACCTTGATGTACATCCCATCATGAATTTGTCTCTGACTATTAGTATTAACATTTATGGTCATATTTATCAAATGTTTATTCTACATATACTTTTATTTAACATATATACTTTTATTATAAAGTAAAATAAACCTTCCTATCAAATTAGATATACTATACAATAGTATTATTTTGCTATATCTCAGAAATAGCCAACATTTTCTGATAATAGCTCAATTATCACTAGTAATGAAGATACAGTCCACTTATGCATTCATAATTTTATCATCATCATCATCATCAATGGTGCTACAGCCCTATGAAAGAGCCTCGACCTTCCCAAGTCTATTACGCCAGGCAGTCCTATCCATTGCCAACCGTTGCCAGTTTGCTGCGCCTATCTTTCTACCATCCTCATCTACACCATCCTTCCATCTGAGTTTTGGCCTAATTTTATCAGTAAAAGTTATTTAATGGATACCTAATCGATATATGAATCCCACACCACAACCACCGATTTCTTACAAAGATCCGTCAAAATTGAAATATGATATTGAGGATTACTTGTCAATAAAAAAATCATTCAGGAAACATAAAAATTAAGGAAACCCAGATAATTATTAAAATAAGCAATAAATTTGGATTATAGCCTGGAAATCAAAACTTTGTATAAACAATACATTATTTCTGTAGAAATTTTAAAACCTGTTATTCAAAACCTTAACACTTTCACTGCAGAAGCTTCCAGTAGCATCTTTCTTACTTCTCTGTCTGTGTAGATGGGCCATTTGGTGCTATCCTATTGCATAAATATGCTATCAAATGTTCTTTCCACACAGGAGAATGTTCTGAAATAAAGTTCTGCAGCGAAAGTTTTAAATATCAAGGTAAAAAATAAAAAAATATGTAATAAAAAACATATCCAATATCCAACACACACAATATCCCAAACTTTCTGAAGACACAACTAAAATAACATAATATATGATGTATATAAAGTTAAAAAAAAAGAATATATAAAAGTAAATTTGGTGTAACATTGATTTGAATTCCTAATTTTTCTTTCTTTAATGATTGTATTACTTTTGCAGTTACTACTGCAGTATGTTTGAATTATGAAATATTTTCACAATTTATTACCTTAGCCCATTCTTCTTCTGTAAAATGAAGTTTTCCTTTAAAAAAGCTTTCATCATATTCATCCTCACTATTAAATCCAGTACAGTCTTCTTTAATTTCAATCTCATTGTTATTGCAAGGAGTTTCTACAGGAGAAGTGTCCACAGGTGAAGGAGTATTGGGTTCATGCAAGGGTTCAGGCAATATATCACGCTTCAATGTAATGCGCTCTCTCTTTTGTTCTCTCCTAACTTCTCTCTTCTGCTCTCTTACACTTTCTCTATCTCTTGGTCTTTCTGATTCTTTATAACGTTTGTGGAAACGTTCCTTTCTTTCACTTTTGCTGAAACAATAGCAATATTATAGATTAGGTATAAAAAAGAATATTCTACATTTAAACTTGATACAAATTTCAGATAATTCTGAATGTTCTTTGAAAAAAACATTAAATACTGAAAAAAATGGCAAAAGTAGGTATTTCTGATATTCTCTTGCCTTTTTTTTTATCCTTTGTTATTCTTGTCTTTTCTTTTTCTAGAAGAAAATGCTCTCGAGTCTCTAACACTTGTTACATATTTTTATGATGCTATTGAAGGTGAAAGTAAGTATATAAAACTTTATACCATAGATCAGGAAATGAATGAATGTACAAATACAAATGACTCATTTAAAACAAGATGGCTTCATTAAAGAAATTCATAAACTATATATAAGATCTACTATGAAGAAATACACTGGTTATATGGTATAAAACAAAATATGAAAGCAAATCTTATAAAAATAATACCAATAAATAACTAAAAATATTTTTATGGGATATAAAAGAAATATTATAGATCCCTAATGATCATATGTGAATTAAAAAACAGTTGTTCCCATTTATAGTGTTAAAATCGATTGAGAAACTTTTGCTCCTATTAAGAAATATGTCCTACTTACTATGGGGATCTCCTAGCATTTGTAGTGTTATCTGAAAGATTCTGTATCTGGATAGTACTAATATCATTTCTTCTATTTGTTCTCTCTGTAGTAGCCTACAAAATAAGAATGTTTAGTATTTTGTTCAATCTAGATATTTACTGATAATTGACAAATTAATTGCTTTGTCTGAATATGTTTATTTTTAACAAGTCCCTAAAACAAATTTTGAAATGTAGTAGAACCCTTCCACAAATATGCATTATTAGTACTTTTATAACTATAATAATAGTGGTTATAGACACAAATTTCAATGTCAATATGATTTATCTATTTATAGACTTCCATTACAAATTATGTTCATCTTTGTGAACCTACATTCTGCTGGGTCGTATCATTATTTTCTTCGGAACTTGCTGATGCCTTTCGAATAGCTGGTAGAATGGTCATTGTGTTTGTTGACGAGAATCAATTAGTTTTTGATAATTATTATGAAATTATTTCTAAAAGGATTAAATATGTCTGTCTACTGCCACTAACTGAAAACTGAAATATAATATCAAAGCCATGTCAAAGCCTTAGCTGTCAAATTAATTTGTCAACCACTAATGTAACGAGTGAAAGAATCGATTATAAATCGATTAATAGAATAAGTATTCAAGAATAAAAATTTTATTTAATAAAAGGTTTAATAAAAACCCTATCGGGCTACATCACAGAATGTTTTCTGAACGAATATTCCATCAACAGTGCTATCTGGATGTATATGTTTGAAGGAAGCCACTAAATGTATGGGTATTAAAAAATAATTCAACATCAATTTTAAACGTGGACAGTAATTTAGATGTGTTTTTGGATCAAGTATCAGAATGATGATGATTCAGATATCATTTATTTTAATAGTCTTTACCTCTATTTTTATAGGCATCTTTAACACTTCCAACCTGCCTACGGTTACCAATATCAACACAGTTAACAATACAACTCGGTTAACAATAAATTTAAAGGTATAAAGATTTAATCACATAAACAGTAATGTCTCGTTGAAAAATAGTATGCTCTTGTTGATCAAAATTTGTGTTACAGATACAAACTTTTATATTATAAGATTAGAAAAAAACTTCATTAAGTTTAATGGAGTATTTAATTTGATTAATCGTTGCTAAAACGTTTTAGCTGTTTGCTTACTAGTTTACCACAACCAGCACGTCAATCACAGACTATTAGTCATCCACTGTCTGCTTAGACAAGGAAAGAGAGACCTTATCTCTTTCCTTTTCTAAGGTCTGTCAATTATTTTTTCATTTCACTTCACAGCATATGAAGTCAACATCGAGAATCGAGTTGTTTTCTAAACTGGGCTCGAGACGTCACCTGTCAGATCGTCAGGGTAAGAAAAATATTCTAAAAAACAGTTATTTTGAAATGTCATAGTTGTGGAAATATTTGGAATAGTTGTAGACTTCTCAACTTCAACATAACGATGTTTACATATTTTGTGTTTTAATTGTTTGGTGTGTATTTAAATTTATTATATTACTCCATCTCTATTTATCCAGTGATAATAATCTAACTACCTGTAAACATCACATTATCATTTTTGAACAATTTTCTCAGTAGTCAAGCAGTTGTACCATTAAATTCGAAGATGTGGGTACCCACCCATGTTCAAGTAACTGGTAAGTTAGCGTACATTCAACAAGATTGCCTTATATTTAACAATAAAATTTGTTTTAGTTTTAAGAGCAGAAAAGCTGCTTGTCAAAGGAAAAAACAATACAAATGACTGCTTTGTTACCATTGCTTTGGGAAAAACTAAGTTTCAAACATCAATAAAAGAAAAATCTGGGCAGCTAGTAGAATGGCATGAAGAATGTGAACTGTAAGTGTTTAATTGCAATTATTTGACCTACTTAGTTACATACCTTCATATTTCCATATGATGAGTAATCAATGGTTTATCAAGATTATTTAAATTTAGAAATTATTACTATTAATTGACTTCAATATATATATGAACTCATTTAATGCATGTAGTTTATCATTTATAGAGAAAGTATGTGTTGATGTATGAGGTAAATGTCCTTATAAATACACTTTTATTTGCTAATATCAGTTAATGAGAAATTTTAAATGATCTACATTATTTATTTATCATTTATTAAAATATTTGATTTCTTTAATTTTCTAAATTTTTGATGTTTAATTTATGGCTTTCCTTAAATACTGTAAAAGTAGCAGAATGTTACATATTACTTATTTGGATACTTATTTAAGTGGATATTTTTTATTGACAATAAATATAGATAATGTGATTTCCACTTTTGAATTTGCATTGTACCTAATGTCTTTCTAATTATTGCTCAGCGTGACATTATAATTCATAATCAAAACAATTTTAAAATATTGACTTATATACAGAAAAAATAAATGAATTTGAATGCAGAATATTTTATAGTTTTTTACATGTTAGATGCAAAATTTTCCTCCATTTGGCTATAACTAGTTTTTAATCAAAAACATACTTTGTTTTGCTTTTTTAAAGGATGTTAGTGTATATTATTGTTTTTTTAATGTCACTGACCATTAGTCAAAATATTTATAATATTTGTCATGTCAGTACATTCCTATTAGTTTGTAGAATTTGTTTACTAGAGATTCCATTCACTTAAGTGTATGTTTATCTATTTGTGATTCACTCAATGCATAGTAAACATAAACAGAAAATATTAAATACTTTAGAATAACCTGACCAGTTAATTTTTTTTGGCACAGAATCTTTAAATGCTTTTCATAAAGTGATCATTCAGCTAGTTTTACTATGTAATTTAAGATGCATTAATCACTTTCTTTAGTTTTGGTTATCATATGAAGATACAAGGTTTAAAATATACCTAATGTACATATCGATTGGTTAAATTGTAAAGTGGCTAACTCCACTTTTTAATGGAATTTAGATTATTGTGCTATCGGTTAAAAATAAATAAAATCTGTCATTTGATGATGTTAAAACACCTAACATATTTACAGTTTTCTTTAATTCGCGCCACCTGTAAAACAGCTATTAGTTTGAAGTTCAATTTGAATAATACAATCTGTCCAACTCCTTTAATTGTTGCCATTTTAAATACATTTTGTGAGGGTGTAAAAGAGACTTCCCATTGCACTTCAGTTTTTCATTAAAAAATAGAAACTAATTACTTCAATTATTAATAAAGTGATTTAGTGATATAAAGGTAAGCTTATGTATTTATTTAAACATAATTATTCTGAATAATTTTTGATTTATTAACTTTAAAATCTCTTACTTGGAGTTAACTGGTTGACATTGAAATGGTGTGTTTTAAACTGGAAGGAGACAAGACAAACACAAAGTGTTCATGAAAAGGAAGTAAACAGTATCCCACCCATTCAATTAAAAAAAAAAAACAAGAAATCTAATTCTTTTGAATTGGGAAAATAAATCAATGAATGTACCTACTATGAAAACACATTATTGTAGGGTATCGACAGGCAAAAAGTACATCATACCTGATTGGTCAACTAAAAAGGCCCTTTACGATATTTATGTAAACAATTGGTGCAAGGAACGTAATGTAAAAGCCCTATCTGTATGCTCTTTTAATACAGCGATGGATTTTAAAAAAAATTGTCCTTATATCATCCAAAAAAGGATCAATGTCAGATCTGTTTTTCACATAAATTAGGACAATATTCAGAAGATGCACATACTTTACATATTGAAAAGAAAAAAGGAGCCTGAAAAGGAAAAAAGAAGGATAAAGAAACAGAAAAATATGTATTTACAATGGACCTACAGGCAGTGATGTTAGCGCTACATTCTAATGTTTCCATTCTATATTATAGGACCAAACTCTGGGTTCAGAAATTTTGTTTGTCTAACTTAAAATATCTACAGGGAACATGCTATTTGTGGAATGAATCAGAAGCAGGTCTCAATGCGAACAAATTCGTCACAATTGTCGTTAAATTTTACTTGGACGAAGTAATACCAGCATTAAAAGAGGAAAATACAAATGAAAGTAAAAAAGTTATACTCTATAGTGACAGGTGCACTTATCAAAATAGAAATGCAACCATAAGCGATGCATTATTACATTTAGCCGTAACAAATAATGTAACAATAGAACAAAAGTTCTTGGAAGTTGGCCATACTCAAATGGAAGCTGACAGTATGCACGCATCCATTGAAAAACAGTTAAAGAATAAAATATTCAATGTTCCTGCTGAGTATATTGAGGTATGCTAAACAGCTAGAAAAAATCCTGATCCTTATAGTGTCCATTATCTAATCCATGACTTTTTCAAAAACTTCAAGGATGTGTTTTTTTTAAGTCACTAAGACCTGGAAAGATGAAAGGTGACCCCAAGATTATGCATTGTATATTTTTAGTGTGATGAATTTTTTTTGCAGCGTGCCCTGCAATATAATCCCGATGGAAATATTTACTATAAATTAAGATTCAGGGGTGATTGGTGCATATTGCCACAAAGAAGAGATAATAAAGTTACGACAAAACTTTGGAATGAACTGCCAGGCTTATATGCAACCCGATGTAAAAGAAAAAAGAAAAAGTTCGAGGATTTACAAGAATTAAAAAAAGTAATCCTTTCAGGTTATTACGAGTACTATAATAATATTCCATTTGAAAATGAATCATAATTTTTCTTTGTCAATTATTAGTTTTATGCATTAGATTTTAGAAGAAACTGTTTTGTTTCACTAGTTTCTAGATAGTTATGATTGTGCAGGATTAAAATAAAAACTGTCTAACTCCCAAAAAAAATTGTTTTCTTTTAAGTCAAACAGCTAACTCCTGATTCTTTTTATGACAGCCAAAATATTAAAAAAATGGTATTTTTTTCATTATAGTACAAGTTTTCAATTGTAACATTATTGTTATTTATATTTGTGAAATCTCTAAATGTCACTCCACACCCTCCAACCAGTTTTTATTGTCTCCTGTAAAATTTACATTATTGGAGTTAGCTGGTTTACACTTTAAGCCATCGATATGTTATATTCCCTGTTTTCTTCCACTAAGTACATTCCTTTTTTTTATTTTAGTCCTATACCAGATCAAGGCAATACAGCAGAGATTGTTTTAACAGTTTTACATCACAATTATGTGGGAATAGATGAATTTTTAGGACGTGTTAATATCCCATTAAATTCATTAGATGTGTATGAAAGACCTAAAAATAAATGGTTTAAGTTACAGAGCAAGCCAGGTAAGGACTTTTTGTTTTACCACGAAAGAAATATATCTTCTGTTTTTCACTTTAAAAAGCTGTTTGAATGATTTCAACTGTTTCTCATCTAATTTGATATGCTGAAAATGAAAATGATACCAAAACATATCTGGGACATCAGGATTTTTCACAAAATACAAATACAGATTTAGTTGATTTTCCTATTTTTAAGCTTTGCAAAATTATATTTTGAGTATCATATTCTCTTGCTATTTAAACTGTCAGTTGTGTCACATATGTGGAGGTACTATCTCTGACTTACACATGATGTGTAAACTCGCTGCACAGAATACCAAGTGGGCCTCAGCAGGAAACACAAGGTAAAATATATGTATGTTGCTTACTCAGTTTTGTTCCTTACTTTGATGAAATAATATCAACTCAGTTTCTTTTTGCCAATTTATTATAATTTGTGTATTGGTTGTATGTACATAATGTCATAGGGTAATATGACTTACCAAGTTGGTATTACAGTGAATCTTGGATAATTTGAATCTCAGGGGACCGTAAAATAACGAAAAATTCGAATTATCCAAAAATTCGAATTAAAAATATATATACAAAAAACAGTGATACATACAAAAACATCTGCAAACGATAAAAATAACAATAGTTGACCATTTTTATCTTTTGCAGATGTTTTCGTTTGTATTCTTGCCTGAATTTTGTCAACTGAAAAAAATGGGCTAACAAAACTCTACCAAGAAAACCAATTAAAACATTTGCAAGCTATAAAAAATGGAAAATAAATAGAAATAAAAAGAAATCCGAAATTTTTAACTACTTTTTAGAATTTAGCTTCTCGGCAATGACAAAAGATTTTAAGGTATTCTAAGGTGAATTAAAAATAGAGTGACTTGAGTCATTTTTACTTTCAAAGTACCATCTAAGTTGTGTAATATGATTCGTTAGTTTGGCTGCACTGCAACATCTTTATCCACGTTGGCAAAATCTTTATAACATACGGCAGGATCAGAAATAACACCCTCCCAGCCATTGACTGAAAGCAGTTCTTCTGTTAAAGTCTTGGTAGTGTTTTCTATATTCTCATTTTTTACGAAACTAACTTTTTTAAACAATATTTAATCATTTCGGGTATTGCTTTCTCCCAAGCTTTCTTACACATTCGAGAGTCTTGAAGAATGTCTAACTTTTTTTCAAGGGAGTTACAATCTTCCATCAGTATGTTTTCAACCAAAAACGTCTGTTAAAATGTTTAAGATTTTTTGATGCCGTGGTCCATAAGCTGGAGAACTGAAGTCATGTTGGCAGGAAAAAAATAACTTTTACATTTTCCATTAGTGGGATAGTGTTGTAGGCCGGCAGTACAGTTGTAAATAAACAAACTAACTTTTCTTTTTTCTCTTATGAACTTTTTGTCCAATTTCATTAGTTATTTCTCGAAAACATCCCTAGCCATCCAAGCTCTTGTGCTGCTCACATATTACACTGGTTTTAATTTGACATTCTTAAAACAACGCGGATTAGCCAACTTGCCAATTATCAGTAGAGGCAGCATTTCTGATCCATCCAAGTTTGCACCAATTAGGAGAGTGACTCTTTCTTTGCTTAGTTTTCTTCCATGACATTTTTTATTTTTAAATGTCAGTATTTTGGCAGGAGTGCATTTAAAAAAAGACCTGTCTCATCAACTGAAGATATCTCTTTCATCTATATCCTGAATCATCTCCTCACATTTTATTTTCATTCTTTAACTTCTTGTTGTTTAACAGCTGCACTTTCTCCACAAATGGATTTAAATGGAATTTTGTTGCGTTCTTTGAATCCGCCTCACCCTGTACTCGAATTAAAGTTGTTTTCCCCATTTCAATAACAAATTGTTCAGCTTTGCTTCTTATAAGGGGACCACTCACGGTTATCTCCTTATTCGAACCATTTTAAAGCACATTTGGGTTTTCTGGCTACCTTAACATTTTTTGTTCTTTACCACACTCACTTTCACTCTCGAGATTTTTTCTTTATTCTTCAAGTAGGTATATCCACCTATTTAAAGAAGTAGGTGTGAATTATCATGTGTTAGGAGAAATTCCAAATTCCTTGGAATCTCAGATTTTTCGTTGTCCCTTTTTCTACTTCTTCACCTGCCGCTATTTTTTCCGATAACGTGAAAGTCTTGTATATTTGAAGTTTACCAACCAACGATATCTTCACTCAAAACGCAATGACATGCTGACGTGATTGCAGTACGGGTATACAGATACGGGTACAATTTACAATGGTCTTGAATACCTTGAAACAAGTGGAGCCTGAGAACAGGAAAGAATACTATCTCTTTTCGCGGAAATTTCCAGCATGAAATTGACATTTTAGGCAGTAGAAAAGTTCGAATTATCCAAAATATAATTCGAATTATTTACGACTTTTTACCATTACTTATATAGGAAATGCTAGGGACCAGAATAAACATTTGAATTAAAAAAGATTTTGAATTAGAGAAGTTCTAATTAAACAGGTTCCACTGTATTATAATTTTGTTTGCATAATGATTTTATAACTTGGCCTTGCGAAAGTCCACAAAATCTCTACTCAGCTATTTAACCTCTTCTTCATGATGCAGAAATACCTGTGCCAAATCTCCCTGTTATGTTAGGAGAGATACCAGACTCAGATGAAGGTGAATGGCATCCCTTTATTCTCAGCCTAAAAGTAGTTTTATTTCATGATGATGGTTTGTCTATTTGTGTTAGATATTCTGTGTTCCTGAAAGAGACCTATGAGAACATGGTAATCATTATTAAAAAAGTCAAATCTGAAGATCACAGTTTCCAAATATGTGATAATTTGAAAATCCTGTTTATGTTGCTTGGCAACAAGCTAGTAATACCAAATTTTCTTTCCCCCCCTTCATATAAAGCTAGACCTTATAAAAGTTCTACAAATCTCAAATCTTTAATAAAAGATGGACAATGTTTCAATTACTAGGTTACAAAGTTTTCAGAACTGTCAGAGGCAAGATCGTGATTACAAAATATACATAGTCAAAAGAATGCTGTCTTATCAAAATTTGGGTTGCCTCATGATCCTAGGTATATTTTTTTTTCGCCCTCATCTGGACTGTTTTCTTGAGAATTTGGGAGCTGTGAGTGAGGAACAAAGGATGATAACTACCATCAAGGAGGTGGAATATAAAAGGAAAATGAAGCACATCAGACTACTGCTGCTTGCCACAGAGGGATAGTTATAGTATTTATAAGCAAAAGTGCGATAGCAAATGAGGAACGAGAAACAGTCTTTGGAAGTCATACCTTTGGACGTGTTGACAACTTCACATACCTTGGGTCGCTATTGACTGCTACCAATAAAACAAGCGAAGAAATCAAAAGACGAATAAATCTTACAAATAGGGCACACTATGAACTCCAAAAGCATTTCCACTCAAGAAACATTCAAAGAAGAACTAAAATTATTATATACAATACATTGCTGAGGCCGGTCCTCACATATGGAGCAGAAACATGGACTTTAACGCAGAAAGATGAAAGACTTTTGGGAATATTTGAGCTATAAACGACCAAGGGCAGTGGCGCAGAAGATATAATTTTGAATTGTATCAGCTCTTTAATGAGCCAGATGTCATAACGTTCATTAAAATACAGCGACTTAGATGGGCTGGACACATAATACGAATGCCAGAAAATATGATTGTTAAAAAGCTAACCACAGGAGCACCTGTAGGAACAACCTGTTCGTACAACCGTCTGTTGCTAAACGTGACACATGTTTGTGCATTTTACATACTAATTAAATGATTTAGAAACTAAAGATACAAGAGTGTATGAAAAGTGAGTAACGAGAAAGGTTGAACTTGTTATCAAAGGGCAATCGAAGATTTGCAACAAAACTGTAAAGGAAAAATTTAGGACAACTAAGAATGAACTGGCAAATCTCTTTCATCAAGAACTTAAACCTTTTTTAGTCCACAGCAGAAACATTATTCATCAACAAAGAACAATAAAAGCTATTAAAACAAATTTACGGTCTGACGAAGTTTTAATACATTTAGATTTTTCTGAGAATTACAATTGCAAGTACAATGACGAAGTACAATCCGCTCATTTCGGGGGATCAAAGTCCCAACTTTCACTCCACACAGTAGTTACTTACTATTTAAATGAAGATAGCAAGTTAGCCAAAACAAGTCTTTGTACAATATCCGACAATTTACGTCATGATCCCATTGCTATTATGGGTCATTTAGAGCCTGTGGTTAACGAATTACAAACCAAATTAAAGAGAATTAAATCCAGTATCGCAACAGGAAAATGATGTGGCTCGAAGCAGCATATTTGCCAAAATTGCTGGATTTTGAGGTAATAAGATGGCACTTTAGTGAAAAGGGTCACGGTAAGGGAGCGCCTGACGGAGTTGGAGGTTGCCTAAAACGAACAGCCGATTCAATTGTGGCAAGTGGAATTGACATTCCGGATTTTAACTCATTTATAAACCATGTGTCTGAAAGATGTAAGGGAATCAGGATTTTTGGATTAACCCTTAATAATTTGGACTGCATAGAAGCATGTTTGCCAGAGTTATTGCCAACATTTAAAGGGTTAATGCAAGCTCATACATTTGGGACAAGACAAAGAATTTCATGGAAGTCCGAAAGTTATCTTGTTTAGATTGCAGAAATTCATGCCTTCACTTCAAAATAGGAATTTTTAATATTGGAGAATTACAAGTACACAGACTAAAATATTCAGATGTTTATTCTAGCAGCAGTTCCAGTGATGGTGAAAGCCACGAAGAAACTCTTTTAGTAAACTTTTACTAAACTCTACTAAACTCTTTTAGTAAAAAAACAATAAAAAAATTCGTAGCAATAGTCCTAGAAGTATATAACGACTTCTGTACTATTAAATACCTTAAACGGGTCTCTGGAACAATTAAATTTGTGTTTCCCAAAGAGGAAGAAACATACCCAATAGACAATTGTGATATTTTACAAGTGGTCGATATGCCTTCTATTAATAACCGAGAACAATATGTATTTAGCTTTAAAAACAACATACTAAAATCCCCAGAGTAACAAATAATGACGTTTTTCATTTATTTTAACTAACTTTACTTAGAATACAAATTTTGTATTTCTCTATTGAGTTAAAAGTTCTAAAGTTATAAAAAGACTAATCATTACAACCTGAATTAGGTTTTTCTTTCAATGATGTTTCAACTTTGTTTTCTTTTATGTAAGTTCAAGTTTAGTTCCTTATTCAAAATACTGATTAGACTTTTTAAACCTGTTGTCAATACAAGTCATGTGCATTCCTTATTTTAATAAATGTTTTTTAAGTAAAGTCGTTTATTATTATTATTACTGTGTTTTTAGTACAATGACTAAACATTTAGGGCGAGTATTTTTGTATATTAAGACAGAAATAATGCTGAATAATATACATATATCACCTCCGTTATTGTATTCTCAACTCCGTGAAATGCAATTTTTTTTAAACCTATTTTTTTATAAAAATATTGGCCTAAGTGTTTGACCTGATCATTATCATCATCTTTGGCTCGACAATTCTCTGTGGATCTTGGCCTGCTCTAAGATTCGTCGCCATTCTGTTCGGTTTTTGGCAACATGTTGCCATCTTCTGATCTTTAATATTCGTAAGTCGGTTTCTACTCCGTCTAACCACCTAATTCGCGGTCGGCCTTTACTTCTTTTTCCTACAGGTGTTCCTGTGGTTAGCTTTTTAGCAATGGTATTGTCTGGCATTCGTATTATGTATCCAGCCCATCTAAGTCGCTGTGTTTTAATGAACGTTATGACATCTGGCTCATCAAAGAGCTGATACAATTCAAAATTATATCTTCTGCGCCACTGCCCTTGGTCGTTTACAGCTCCAAATATTTTGCGGAGTATTTTACGCTCAAATATTCCCAAAAGTCTTTCATCTTTCTGCGTTAGAGTCCATGTTTCTGCTCCATATGTGAGGACCGGCCTCAGCAATGTTTTGTATATAATAATTTTAATATCTATCTATATTTAGTATCTAAGACTTGTATCGATCTATTGGAAATAGTACCGCCATCCCTAATTCGTGTATCTCGGACTGCCATTTCCAAGGCAATATTAAATAGGAGGCAAGCCAGAGCATCTCCTTGTCTGAGTCCATCATTTATCTCAAAGGATCTAGAACTCTCTCCCTGTATTCTAACAGTGGCTTCTAAGTTAGACATTGTCATTCTCGTTAGTCGGATAAGTTTCTCTGGTATACCAAACTCATGCATTGATTGGTATAGCACTGTTCTCTTGACACTGTCGTATGCGGCCTTGAAGTCGACGAATAGGTGATGGGTTTCAATATTGAATTCTAATGTTTTCTCGAGAATCTGTCTTATTTAATGAATCTGGTCAATTGTTGATTTTTCTGGAGTGAATCCAACTTGATATTTACCAACTATGCCCACTGTGTAAACTTGCAACCTTTCGTAGAGAATATTTGCTAGTATTTTGTAAGCAGTTGTTAACAGGGTTATACCTCTATAGTTGTCACACTGGAGCTGGTCACCTTTTTTATGTAGCGGGCATATCACGCCTTGAGACCATTCACAAGGCATGGTTCATTATGCCAAACAAGAAGTAAAAGCTTACCCAGTGTCTGTAGTAGGGCATCGCCACCATTCTTGTAGAGCTCACTGCAAATTTGATCAACTCCTGGTGATTTATTATTTTTAAGCTTTTTAATGGCTTGGGCAACGTTTTCGATGGTAGGTGGTCTTTCGTTTGGTTTGAAAGGATTCCAATCATTTCGATTTGCTAGGGTGTTATCTGCTTCTTCGATATGATGGCCATTAAATTTTGCATCGAAAAATTCAACCCATCTGTTTAGGATTGAAGCCGTATCATTTAGGATGTTTCCTTCTGCGTCTTTACAGCTCCTTATTCTTGGCTTAAACTCTTTGCGCATTTTGTTTAGATTTCTGTAGAACTTTCGAGTTTGACGGGTTTGACCTGATACCTAGTTTTATTAGTGTTTCCAATCTAAATGTAAATTTACTAACAAAAAAATAAAAAAAAAAAATTTTTATTTTGAAAACTTCTGTATACTAAATAAATAACACTTCGTAATAATCACCCAGTTATGTTTTATAAATATAGTTTTGCATAAAAAGTCAGATTACACCAAAATAAATATTTTATTTATTGCATTAAGCAATAGGTGTCAAAGTTCACTTGTGGCAGACAACTCTTTGTAGGATAATGATAAGAAATACATTGTGAGGGTAAACAACTATAGGATTAGATTTATTGAATTTACAAGAAAGTTGTTCTCAAAGAAAATCTATTTTTCAATGATGTATGTAAACAACTTTCACAAAACAAAATAATTCCTTATAAAATGTGTGTTGAAGTAAAAAGTGAAAATCTGTAAGGGATGTATAATACAAGAAAATGATCAGCACATAATCACCTTAAATTATTGATAATATGCCTTCACAGTTGCTTACTGTTAGCAGTTCTACAGAATACTATTACAGAGTCAGTACTAGACTTTAACTGCATAGAATTACTTACCTCTGGTATTAAATTTATTCAGATTGTCATGAGAATTTTACCTATGAGAATGCTTTTACTTTTACTATAAATCTTTCAATTAATAAAAATGGTGGAGATATCTTTTTATATGTGTATTCTCTATAGCAAATTTTTTAAAATATTGTTTCTATCAAAAAATTGTAATTTAAGAAGGTCGAGAAATCACTTATTTTTACAGTACAGCATGCAGTCAAATGAGGTACTTTGAATGACCTTTTATATTATTTTTATTACATTACTGACAAATAACTCTTCTATACAGGGTGTTTCTTCGAGAAAGTAACATACGAAAAAAGGGATCACTTAGGTGATTTCAAAAACCACATACTTCCATACATACATACAGGTCATACTTCATCAGTAACAAAGATTCTGGTTGTTACATTATACAAGGTGGTCCAGACTTATGTACATTAATTTCTAGAGCTCATAGTACGTCCAAAAATAAGGGTACTTCTTTATGTACACTTTTTTATAAAACTGAATAATAAGGGAGATACAACCTTTTAAAGGGGTGAATTGAAATTCTTATTTTTTCAAATATCTTCCAAACGGTTTTGAATACGGAGTTCATATTTTGGGAGTGATTATAAGACATTAGGATAATTAATTTCATGTCACCACCTACCACATCCTATATTAATACAGGGTAGTTTTGGAGGGTAAGTGGGGGTTATTGCGCCACATGTTTTTTAATTTTTACATATTTTAAAAAAATATTTTAAAAATTGTTTCCTTAGAATTTTCTACGCAAGAAAGGTACTCTTGTAATATTTCGATAGATATCACCGTTTTCGATTTATTTAAACTCGAAGGTATACATATATTTTATTGTAATCGTTACATTTCTTAATATTCATCAAGTACACCATTTTGAGAAATTGTTTACATCTTTTTGCATTTTTACACAGTCTCTAACATCCTTATAATTCTAAAAATTTTCAAATCATCAGCATACAACAAAATAACACAATTTTCAAAGATTTCTAAAATGTCATTTATAAAACAAATAAAAAGAATAGTCGATAAATGACCACCTTGTGGGACGCCAGACCTAACCAAAATCTCTTCAGAAAGACAGTTCTTGACTTTGACAACCTGAAGCCTGTTTGTCATAATAATATTGAAAATATATAACAGCGAATAGTACGTAGTCTGATCTCCAAATTTAGATTTTTACACGTTAGGAGTGGCTTCATTCGTATAAATGCTGATCTGGCAATCTCTATTCGCCTGTTTATTTCTACAGTATGATTATTGGTTTCATTGATCAAAGTTCCCAAGTACTAATATTTTTCTACTTGTTCTATCACGTTACCATTGATTGTCAATAGGTGATGTATATTTTGTGGTCTTTTTGTAATTAGCATGTATTTCGTTTTTTTAGCGTTTATAGTAATTCCCATCTCAGCACTATTCATACTCAAGCTTTCGAAAAGATGTTGTAGATCCTCTATACTCGTTGCTATGATCACAGTGTCGTCTGCATATCTTTAAGTTGTTAATTAATTTTTTGTTAACGGTGACTCCCGCTTCGACATTATTGAGCGTGTTTTGTAAAATTTCTTCAGAATATAAGTTAAACAAAAGTGGCGATAAAACACATCCCTGTCTAACTCCTCTACAGATCTTCATTTCTTCTGAGTGTTACCCATTAATTTGAACTATGGCACTTTGGTTCCAATATAATGTTTGCACTATATTTATGTTTTTACTGTCAATGCTCTTGTTCATAAGTATTGATATTAGTTTTAACCACCCAAAAGAAAGAAGGATTATTCCAAGACCTGCTGTAATTATGATTGTCTCGATTACTCTGTATCAAAATTAAAGTATGTGACATTACCTTTTTATTTACAGGCAAACCTGCAAAGAGCAAAGAAAGAGGGAATCTAGAGGTAAAAATTAGATTCTCAGTAAAATCAGGTAGCTTAACGAATTTGAGCAAAAGAGAAAAACACAAGTCCTCAGTGTCTACTGTAGCTCATTCCTTAGGAGGAAGCCTAATGAGTTTAGGAAGTGCCGAGAAAAGAAAAGGAATAAAAAAATTTGCAAAATCAATTGGATCCAAAATAAATTTAAGAGGTAAAAAGAAAGATCATGATGATGATGGTTCTTCTATTGGTAGTATTGGGAGTTTGAATATTAGAAGCGTCCAGGAGAATTTTAAAAGTAAGCAGTCCATTGAAGATGCTGATCCTGGAGTTGTCAGTGACGATGATGATTTTACAGTAAGTTTTTACTTTTTTTCATAACATATTGTCATACAGGGTGGGTCATCAGTGCGAGGAAGTCCAATTACTCATTTATTGTAAGAGATACAAAAAAGTTATTTAGGTAAAAATTGGAACATGGATAAGACCATCCTTTAAAAATATTTGCAAATATACACGGCCACCCATATTAACAGGGCTTTTTTTTAATAGAACACCTTGTATATGTTTACATTCTTGGACTCTTCTTGATGTTCTCGTTTTTTCCAATATAAGGTTTTGCAATATTATATGAGGCAGTTTAAAAGATAATTATTATTTTTTATTAATTTCATACCAATATTAACACCGAGACGTGACATTCAAAAATCAAATTATGTTCAAACGATTTTTTTTAATAGCGGAATATTTAACTTTGGTATAGCCGTTTTCATCTTTCTTGGCGTGTTCGTGTAAAAACACTTGCAATAAGTTGTTTCATCTGTGTTTCCTTGTCTAAGCTCGATTCGTTTACCTCCTCCAGTGGCAGCTATCTGTATTCGTAAAGAGGCCGAACTTATCAGCGACACCGTATCGGCCAAACGCATCAGTGTTATTGCTACAATACTGGGAGACGTGAGTGGTCTCTTCATTCCCTTCTCATCGCACTTTACCATGACAAACGTGACTCGCACAATTAAATTACGCATCTGTGTATCAGAGAGAGACGAATATTAAAAATTCCATAGTAGCTTATTTCAGGCACACGCCAAGAACGATGAAACCGAGTTTATATAGGATTGGTCTGATGATTTTTCTGGTGGTGGAAATCTGGTAGGAAAACCCAGTACTTTCTGATCGATTACATATACAGGCAAGAATTCATAATGTTTTTGTAAAAATTGGAAGCTTCTGCGTTACTAACACCTACAAACCACCAGCTATATCCCGGCCAGCTCAACTCATCCACACACATCTGTGTGTGTGGATATATAAACAATATAACAGCAATGGGAATGCACTGGTAAAATGGGCGGAGGACGAACATCTATCGCTTAAATTTCATGCTAAAGACCGACTTGCATTCATGTCAGCAGCATGGAAGAAGGAGTACAATTCTGATCTATGTTTTGTCTGTACTAATAAAACGGGCAACCTATACCAGTCTCTCGAAAAGTAATGAACGACTTCCCACACAGCCAACTCCGTCCAGTGATCATAGAGGCAGGAACTCAAATTTCTATAATCATATCCATCCCTCGCCCACGGTGGAATCTTAAGAGAGCTATATGAGAGCTAGAACTTAAGACTCTAGGCTGGATACCCCCTACTGCCAAAAATTACAAAAGATTCGTTGGAGCCGTAATAAGCACGGCCAAAAAGCATATACCAAAAGGCTATAGAAAAGAATAACAGCGAAGAACTGTACAAAAATTTCCTTGAAAGCGGCGATCAAGAATTAGCCGAAGAACTACTCCATAGCCTAGATGCAGCGAGACAACAAAAATGGACGGAATCTGTATAAAGTCGTAATTTTCAAACATCAAGTAGGCAAACATGGACACTACTAAGAAAATTAGGAAGCGGAAATCTTATAACAAGGGAAAAAACAATAATTAACCCAAAGACTATTGCTTCACATCTGGTATCGACGTCTAGGGCGCCGAAAGACAAGTCACACACAATCAAGGTAAAACGAGAGCTCATTCCGAATACTCCCACCCTTTCATTTACGAAGAAGTCACTATAGCTCTCAAGGATGTAAAGCCAGGTAAAACCCCTGATTTTGACAATATTCATGCCGAATTCTTAATTAACAGCGGAAAATATGCGAGAAAATGGATGGCCCAATTTTTTACAGACATTATGAAGACCGGTATCATACTACAGGAACTCAAACGAGATCATTGCCATATTAAAACCAAGAAAACCAAATACCATTGCCATATTAAACTCGCCTACAATAAAACACCAAAATACCATGGGGTGACTCTTGACTGAACTCTTTCTTTCAAGGAAAGTCTGTCAAAAACAGGGGAAATACTTAAATCCAGAAACAACATTATCCAGAAGCTGTGCGGCACCACATGGAGAGCATCGGCTTCCATCTTGCGATTATCTGCCCTAGGCTTTGTCTTCTCAACCACGGAATACTTCTCTTCAGCCTGGCTTAACAGCCCACATATACACAAAGTAGATGCCCAATTAAACAATACAATGGGAATGATTGCTGGCGTTATCAAATCCACCCCTACGGAATGGCTCCCAGTACTGAGCCACATTCCACCGCCCAAACTACGACACATGCACTCCCTCACTAGTGAGTACAGAAAGATGCTTAGTAACGAGATCCTGCCAATCCATCAAGATCCCCACTTTGCGACTGCGGACAACCACAAACCATCTGTCACATCACAGAACAGTGTCCCACAAGATCCTATCATGGCAGGCCAGAGGATTTTATAATGGCGACTCCAGAGTCGATAGACTATATAGATAAGTTAGATGTTCGTTTGTAAACATATGTATTATGTTTTATACAAAACATATGTAAATTTAAATGTAAATATGTCAAGTGCCATACGATAAATAAATAAATAACAGGCAAGGTATCAACAAAAATAGACAAACACATAAAAAAGACAGGAATAACACCAGCTTTTAGAACAAACAACAACTTAGGCAAATATATTAACAACGACAGAAAAAGTACTAACACTGTGGTGTATATAATCTTAAATGTTGTGACTACCCAACAACTTACATCGGTCAAACTGGTAGAACTTTTAACAAACGTATAGCAGATCGTAAAAGGCTTTCAAGAATAGAAAAACAACTTCTACTTACGTACGTACTTCACCTTCTAGGGTTCTAGACCAGAATCATTCTTTTAATGACCAATTTAAAATTCTTCACATTCAAAATAAAGGCCGTAAGCTATTAAACCTAGAATCTATGAAAATTATTCAGTGTTTTCAAGTGTTTGATTGTTAAAAATGAATTTCCATAAAATAACAGTCGAATCCATTACAAAAATATATAGGGTGTCCCATTAAAAAAGGTAAGTTTATTCCATCCTGTCAATATTCTGTATATTTTGAAAGTATTTTTAAAGTATGATCCTATTTATGCTCCAAACATTTACCGAAATATTTTTTTTTTCGTATCTCTTACATCAAATGAGAAATTGGACCGCACTAATGTCGCGCCCTGTATATACTTAAGCAAATATTGCCGTCCTTACAAGAATTTTACAATGTCTGAACATTTACTACAGAATAACTACTGATTTTTAGATCAAAAAGATGAAATATTTTATTAATCAGAAGGTTTTTATAATCGAAATATTTTGATGTGCTTAAAATTTTCAGTATATTTTGACTCAAAAAAAAATGTTTGTGATCCTTTTAGCATCAATTTTATCTTGAAGAATGTAGTACCCAATAAATACTACTAGTTTATGGCCTTAAATATTTTTTACAGTCTAATATTTTAGTCTGATCAAAAAAATGTGATTTATTCAATAATCCACTCAATTCAGTATTAAAATTCAATAGTTCACTTCATTATTTAACATGTTTAAATATTCATTTTGGTTACCGAACCTCCTTATTTTTAAAAATAACTTTACTCTTATCAATAAATGAATATTATTAGCTTACTATTCTAGTTATTATATGTAGTTAATGAATAAATTTTCAGAAAATAGTTTACATAAAAAAAGTTTAAGTATTGTTTTCGTTTTCATTTTAAGTACTCTTTTTCTCTGCTTATTTGAGTTTAAAATTCCATGATTGTTTAAGCCTAGTACTACAGCAAGAATTATGTCTGCTACATGTCTCTTGTATCCAGCTGCCTCTGAGGTTTTCTCATTTTTTAGCTTATGGTCATCAATTTATATAAATATTTTTTAATATAAAGTTTGCCAGATCAACAAAAATGCTTGCTACTTATTTTAAAAATACCACCAACATTTATTACATTTAAATTGTAAGTACATATTGTAAATTTTTGCAGCTTGATGATTTGTCACACAAGAGTTCAGCTAGTTCTTTAAACCATCCAGTTGTTAATAGAACTGCTTCACCTATCTTAAAAAATCCTTCTGTTGAGAATATAGTTCATGTGGAAAAGAAAAGTACCGTACCACCAATAAAGCCTCCAAGAATAGATCAAAAAGAACCCCAGGATGAATGGGAATCCAAACTGGTTGGAAATAAACCTCGAGGTAAAATTTGTTATCCGCCATATTTGTATCAATTTTTTCATTTTTGAGCATGTAAAATTGTGAATTAATACTTGTTTTTAGGCGTTTTGAGGCCTGGTAGTAGTGAATCATTAAATAGAAGATCTTGGGATTCCTCAAAACTAGCTTCACAAATAGAAGAAGAGCCTGCAGAGTTGTTAGATGTACCTAAGAAAAATTTTGAGACTATAAGTTTAAGATCTACTAAATCTCCAGAAACTCCTAGAAAAGAACATAAGGAGGGAATGTTTTCCAAATTTAAAAACTTCAGAAAAGGTATCAATATTTTTATTTATTTACAAGTTTATTGCTAAAGTTTGCTCATGCCTGGAAAGAGAATTCTCTCTTCATTTTCTTGTATTTCGTCTTTTGAAGGAAGTTCATGATGAATTGTCCTAGTGCAAGCTTTTTGCGCACAATGACATGTTCTTTTTAGCTCTTCTCTATACTATAAGGTAAATCCTGGTAACATTGACACATCTTCACAAATATTTTTTTTTCTCGCATATGAGTATATTTAGAAATTTGAAATTACGCGTATTGTTATTTGCTATATTAGGAGTAAATCGAGAGTACAAGTTTATTGTAAGTTTCAAAATTTTGATACATTTTTTATTTTTGTAAATGTGTCAGATGTCAAAGTTACCCATACTCTAAGAAAACATTAACACTCCATATTAACTACGTTATAAGCCAATATTTACTAATTGTCAAGTAAAATTAACATACAGTCATATAAAATTAACATACAGTATGATCATTGGTTTCATTGATCAAAGTTCCCAAGTACTGATATTTTTCTACTTGTTCTATCACGTTACCATTGATTGTCAATAGGTGATGTATATTTTGTGGTCTTTTTGTAATTAGCATGTATTTCGTTTTTTTAGCGTTTATAGTAATTCCCATCTCAGCACTATTCATACTCAAGCTTTCGATAAGATGTAGCACTCAGCACTATTAAGCAGCTTTTGCATATTTTTACAAGAGGGCGACACTACATGTGAAATTTTAAAATCGTCAAACTTCTATTTTTCTTGGGCGTACAAAACCAAGGCGGGATATTTGAAAATGTATCAATGTTTGCTCCCTGTCAATGTTACCCGGTTTTACCTTATTTGTGACATATACCTTTCTATGGCAAATATCAACTAAAATCCAAGATACTTGTCAAACTTTTACTTATTTCAATCTGAAATTAAAAACAGTTCTTGTAGCTTTAAAGCATAAAGGTCGGTGGTAGTGTAGTGTAAAATGGTTCGGCATATTTCTTTTTAGTTTTTTGTCTCCTATTGTTCTAAAACCTTTGTATTTTGTACTATCAGCTTCTTTTAGTTACTTAGGGTCGATTGTACGAACGCTAATCAAAACTTGATTGTAATCAAATATTTAATTATAATCAAATACGTCACAGCAGCTGTCAAAATTATTAAAAAATGCTTATTAATATTATTGATTTGTAAATAAAAACATGAAATTAACACCCAGAAAGAGTTTTATTATGGTTTTATTTTTAATTAAAACGCAAAATACAGTGGAACTTGGTTATAGCGTCATTGAAGGGTCCAATAAAAAAATGACGCTATATCAGAGTGACGTTAAAAAAGAGGTTGAGAAAAATAAAATTTTAATGAGGGAAAATATTATTACAGCATTATTGGGTATAGTAGATATATTATTTGTTAATTACTCTGGGCCTAAACATGATAATTTAACATAGTTTACGATATACCGAAAATATAACATTTACTTAAGTCAAATTAAAAAAAAAACAAGAATCATTTTAGGATAAAAAACAATTAAAAAACAAAACATATTATGTATGTATATGAAACTTACATTGTGTAAAAAAGTTCTATTGCTGAAAAAAGTCCGTTATTTTCTTTTGCACAACCCTTTCCGAAAAATAAAGTTTTTCTGTTGTTTCCTTAATAAGCTGAGCTGCTTCTTTGGTATTTGTGGATGCCTCCCTGAACTGGTAAAACCTGGATATGGTCTCAGCAGCTCTCATTGCTTCTTGGATTGTAGGACAAGCAACGATGTCTTCTTCTTCTTCAGCTTCATCGACATCCATTTCCACGTTTTGCACCAGTTCAACAATTTCTTTATCACTTAGGACTTGAAATGTTTCCACCTCATCGTCTACTGAAATGTAGGAGTCAAGATCAGTTCCGAACGCTCCCTGATTCACATTAAATTTTTGTATCCACTCTGACAAAGGCATTTCGTCATCTTTATCAACGTCCTCAACATTGAGAGAAGCTACAGTCAATTTTGCTTGACGAAAACACTTATGAATTGTCACTGACGTAACCGCACTCCACGCATTGTCTAAAAACTGAACAGCATCCAGGATGGTAATGTTCACAGGTTCTCCATTATCCATACAAAAAATCATTCTTTTTAAAAGCTGTTTTCGATAATGGCACTTTAAACTTCTTATGACTCCCTGGTCCATAGGCTGCAAGACACTCGTGCAGTTGGCTGGTAAGAACACTAGATTTATATTGGTCAAATTAAGTTTGGGATGGGCTGCACAGTTGTCAACTAGGAGAAGAATTTTTCTTTTTTTGAAAGAGAGTTCCTTGTCCCACTTTCTCAATTCTTCTTCAAAAATAGCAGAAGTCATCCATGCTTTTTTATTGGCTGTGTAGTTTACAGGTAGTGTTTTAATGTTTTTGAAACATCTAGGATGTAAACTTTTCCCAATAACCAAAAGCTTTCTTTTCTCTGTACCTGTCATATTTGCACAAACAAAAGCCGTCACTCTTTGCTTGGAAAGTTTTCCACCGACACATTTTTGATTTTTGAAATTTAAAGTTTTGTCTGGCGTTAATTTATAAAAGACACCTGTCTCGTCACCATTAAAGATATCTTCATCTTTGTATGGTTGCCTTTGTTGTGGCCATGTGTTTTGTAACCAGTCACTTGTTACGTTCTCGTCCACACATTTTGCCTCTCCAACAATTTTCGAGAAGGAAATTGAGTGCCTGGCTTTAAACCGATCTAACCAGCCGTTAGAGCATGTGAAATCTTCACCAAACAATTTTCCGAACTCTGTAGCTTTCTCCTTTAAAAGTGGCCCGGACACAGGGATATCAGAACTGCGACACTGCTTGAACCATTTGAGTAGAGCTGAATCTACATCACCACGAATGCACTTCCTAATCTTTTTAACATTGTTTCCGTCCTCTTTAAAGGCTTTTAAAATTTTGTCCTTGTTTTTTATGATTGAGCCGACAGTCGAATTAACAAGTCCAAATTGCCGGCATACATCAGCAATTTTTCGACCACTTTCAAATGCTCTTATAACACGCACTTTTTCTTTAATAGGCAAAACCTTCCTTTTAGTGCTACAACTTGCCATATTAAAAAATAAAA